GACAATCCAGTCAGGGTATAGTGAGTAAATAAGTAGAAAACAGGATGATATAAAAAGGATGCACTATGGGGGAAAGTAAGTTTGGAGACCTGCAGATACCAGAATTAATCGTATTAAGCAAAGGACAATTCATGAGCACCTCCCTCTGAGAGGTGTCCTCCATATGACACTAAAATCATAATAAACTGTTTTGTGTTGTTAATAGTCCTGGGGACTGAACTACGCCCTTTGCACTAAGATACATCCCTAATCTTTTTTCTTTTTTCTTTTTTATTTTGTGAGTATGGTCCCTCTAAGTTGCCCAGGATGGGACTGAACTTGCGATCCTCCTGTCTCAGCCTTCAAGAGTGCTGGAATTACAGGCATACACCATCACCACCAGCTATCATAAAATTTTTCAGTAATCTTTGAGCCACCAAAGAGCACCACATTTTCTTAAAGAGATGAAATTTTAAATGTTTTTGACTTGTAGAGAAAAATTAGAAAAATATTTAAAATTTCATAGTAGGAAAAAGAAGTGAGACGTGTTCAAATGAACAGATCGTGATGATTTGTGCTGGAGGTGACCGGCAGGATGGACCCAAGTCAAGCTGGAGCTCCCTCCTGCTTCTTTGATTTGCAGCCTTTCTCTTCCAGTGCTGAGAGGAGTTGAGACCAGCAAGTCCTCATGGAATGCTCTGGCTCTTGTTTCTTAGTAGGACTTGTTGTCCCAGGTACATCATTGCATCTTTTCAAATCTGTTTCCCCTTCTGTCTCAACATCACTGATACCTACCAAAGAGGACTATTGCCAAGTATGTAAAAGCATAGTAAGCAAGCAATAAATGGTAGCCACGGATTAGGCCTTTCAAGGTCAAGGCAATGTCACAAGACAGCTACACTTACAGAGTGTCTTAGTTTTCTTTTACCTCCAGGGTGGTAGAGGAATAAGATTTCCTTCATATTTCCAGTTATTCCCAACTGCCTGCAATTTCTTTTGGTAAGCTACTCCAGTTTTTCTGTCCAGTTATGTTTCAAGATTTATACATATGTTTTTATGCCAATAACCATACAACACACATATATATAATTTTACAGCTCTCAATATGTTTAAACACAGCATAATTAAATCAAATTAAATAGCACTCTCCTAATGCTGTTTATTTAAATTTTCTATATTGAATCCTACAGTGTTTCATGAAATACCTTATATATCTGCCTTGTCTTTTCTTATTTGGTGAACATATTTTAGGCATAAATTTTTTAGACCATGAACAGTGTGAATGTAATGAAAACTAATAACTAGAGAAAATCAAATTAGTGTAGTATAAGATGTCATTTTTAACCTACAAATCTGGCAAAAAGAATGTGACTATAATTTATTAGTGCATATTACTATTGCATAATGGTGGAGTTTGTTTTGGGAAAGTTGGTACATGTTAACATATCTTAGTCAGTTTCAATCCTATTACCCCATCTTTTCTCCTAAGCATAAAAGTTTTTAAATAAATACATCAAAATCATTACACCAAGAATTTCAAAGACAGGGTGCTCTTTTCCATGGTTTACCTGGAAGAATTGCAGTTGGGAGATGGAAGATGGAGGTGTGAAGAAAGAAGGAATGAGGGAGAGCTCAATCTCTGGGCTGGTCTAATAGGTACAATGGGCTATTTCATCTGGCTCACAGGTGCTTTTAGAAGTAACACACCTGTCTACACTGGCAACTGGAATGAAATATACAGGCTCCATTACAACGTTCCTCCTTATGTAATCCTCTTGATTTTTGGCAAGTATGACCCTTTAAGAATGTTCAGAGTTTTGCTAGTTGAACTCTGCAGAGAAATCAGGGGCCCGATCCCCTAAAAAATAATTATTTACTTCGGAAGAAAAAAATATTTCTTAGAGTCTTAGAAATGTTAGATTCTACTCTCATTTTCCTAAAACATTGTTTTCCTCTCAATTTCTTCTCATAGTTCCACACGTAAGTCCTAGCTTGCTTTAGTGACCCCTAAGTGAGATTGTAGCCTAGTAATTTTTTTTACTGAATTGTGTCTGAGGAAGAAATATTTAAATTGATTATTATCTTACCCAGTTCCTTGACAGTACTTTACTCCACCCACAGCCAATAAATATTGATGGGATGGTAAAACTGAAGACTACCTATGATTCAGTAATTCAAAACTGTAAACAGCTTTTGCAAGTAATGATCTTTAGAAGGACAACTCAATAGGTGAGGGGGTAGATTGACATGCAAATATCCATCATATTTTATTGAGTAAATTAAAAATAGATTTAATCATTAATATATGTCCCTAAGGAATAAAATTTATTGGATTCAATTGTTGATTATGTGCTCATGAAATTGGCTAATTACCTTAGGCAGATGTTTGGTGCATATTAATTTGGGTTCCTGTGTTGACTGTGAGTATCTTTGGTTCATACCTAGCCTCCATTTAGAATAGCTGAGTCCCAATAGGATGTGCCCTTGAAATGTAACTGTAAGCCACTCACTCCTTAGGAGGGACAGTATGGCATCCTAGGAAGATCCCTGAATGGGGAAGTGGGATCCCTGATACCAATATTCAGCAGCCATGTGACTTCAGGCCAATCACTTACCTACCAGAAGCATAACAGGTGTATCTACTGCATAGGAATAGCATATGAATTGGAGAATGTTACTAGTAATCATTACCAATTTGGGAACAGAAGGGAAATAGCTCTATAAGCATATTTCCAATGTACTACCTTACTAACGATCATTTAAGGGTAAAATGTTTCCTTAACATTGAAACCCCTTTAGAGAACTAAAAAGACTGATAATCCAAAGTGTTGATGATGATGTAGAGCAAAGGGAATGCTCACCCACTGCTGGAGGGAATATAAAATGGTAGAACCACCTCAAAAAACAGTTTTGAAGTTTCTTAGGAAGTTTAATGTGCATTTACAGTATGGTCCAGTAATTCCACTCCTATTTTCATAAATGAATCAAAGCCAAAAATAAATATACACTTGTATGTAAATGTTTATAACAGTTTAATTAATCATATCCCCATAATGGCCACAAACTGGAAACAACTCAAATGCCATCAGTGGAGATATATACTATTCAGCAATAAAAAAGAATGAACTACTGATGCATGTAACAAAATGAATGAATCTCAAAAATAGTTTGCCAAGTAAAAAGTAAAAGAAACCAGCCGTGCAAAGGTGCATACTGTATGATTCAGTGTCTGCAACCATACCAAGTGAAAACACAGTGGGAGAAAGCACATCACTTGTTGGACAGAGACTGAAGGGGAAATTGATTGCAAATGGGAAAGAGAATTTTGTGGAAGGATAAGAAAGTTCTCTATATTGATTGTGGTGATGATTCCACAGGTATTCTCATCTGACAAAACTGAACAAACTGTGTTTGAAATGGGTGGGTGTATTTCATTATCTATAAATTGTATCTCAATAAAGTGAATGAAAGAAATGAACACACAATGGAAGGCAGTGATAAATGCAAAGTGGAGATGTCCTAGGCTGGCTCGTAGGTACTAAGAACATGGTCAAAGATTGGTTCCTGCTTTATGCACCAAAGTTCAGGGCCAGACCTGATTCTGCTGCCAGGCTGACCCTCCAGTATGATAACCTTGCTACACTTCTGTGAGTGTGACAATGGATAGAAAAGTTCTCTGTAAACCCAAACCTGCTGGTCCACTTGACAATTGAGGCTAATCATCAACCTGCGCCAAGCGCTGAGCCACCATCTTTCTAGGAGGACAGCACAGAATGGAGAGGGATCCCTTGCAGGCCTCCAAGTGGACCTGGAACCTGCTATCTTCTCCCTTTCTTTCCTTCCTGTCTTCAGCTCTGTTCCTCTCACCTCTCAGAGCAACACTCCTTTGCTAATTTATAAAGGAATAATGAATAAGCAGACACCCAGAGAGCCTTCTTAGCTGGACACAGTGACACACATCTGTAATCCCAACACTTTGGGAGGCCAAGACAGGAGGGTAGCCAGTTCAAGCCTGGCCTGCGCAACTTAATGACTTGGCAAGATGTTGTGTCAAAAGAAAAATAAATAAAAGGCTGGGACTATAGCTCAGTGCCATGGTCCTGGGTTCAATACCCAGTAGCCCCACCACCACCACACACAGACCATCTTCCTCAATGCACACAGAATTTCTAAATTAAATGAATTCTTCCTTGCTGCATTGTGACTATTAGCTTGGATGCCAAGGTCAGACTTTCTACATACAGAAATCAGCTGAAGGAACCTAAAAAGCCATTCAACCTCTGTGCCTTAGCTTCCTTGTTTATAAGTGAGGGTTTGAAATTGAACCCTCAACACAGGCTGCTGTGAGAATTCAAGAGAGGGGACATGAGCATCCTGAAGACAGTGGTAGCATAGAGCAAAAAAAAAAATCACAACTGAGAACTGCTGAAACCCCGGGGTATTTTTGTCCCAACTCCATCAATTCTCTTAATTTTCTGTAGAACATCAGAGAACATTTTATCAGTTCCACAGGAAGGCACCCAGACTCTTAGGTCTGGGAGAACAGAAAGTTCCCATGTACACTCAGCATGAGATGGAATTTCCCCCAAGATCCTAGTTCTGTAAGATAAAAATGGGGGGCCATGGCCACATATTTGAATCTTGCATTCTAAGTTGATTGTATTATATTTTATCCGTACATACTTGAGACACTTGTCAACTATGCTGTAATTGTACAAACAAGGAAAGAGAGTCCACCACAAGCCATGGCTGAGAAATGCAGAAAATTGGATGCTGTAGCAAGCCAAATAGGGAATCAGTAATATATTTATAATTATTACTAAAATGCCTGTCAAGCAAGCAGCAATATATTATATATATAAAAGAAATCCCTACCTGTGGTTTAGATCCTGTGTTCTTCCTCGGAAGTCTACTATAGATTCTTGGAAATAAAATGATTCAAGCTCAGATGAAACTTTCAATCCCTGGCATTTTCCCCTAATTTCTCATTCGCGTATCTTTTTTACATCCCCTCCATGTAGCTCCACCAACCCTCCCAGACGTCAGTGGGTCAAGGAGCCTCCCAAGGGACCCTTCTGCACCTGGCTCACAGCCAAGCATCCATGTCTCAAAGTCCCGTCCGACAGCCTTCCTCCTCTTCCTCCTCATCCTCCTCTTCTTCAGCTTTGAGCGTGGGCCAGTTAGTCAGCAGTAAGTATCCTTTCTGGCTCCGTTTAAATCATAGTGACTGTCTTTTCTCTCTTTCTCTCTTTCCCTCTCCCTCTCCCTCTTCCTCTCCTTTTCCCTATACCTCTCCCTTTCCCTTTCCCTTTCCCTCTCTCTCTGAGCATTTGCTAGTGCTGCTAAGCTGACACAGAGGCCAAGTCCCTATCAGGGACAGGTGGTTCCAAAGCCCACCCTGAGTTGGTACCTGCCAGGGCCGGGCTCCATCCTCAGTGGCTCTGATGTGCTGAGTCAGTCTTGCCACTTTAGAGGAGGGAACTGATCAGCTTGCAGGGCCATTAGCCACAGAGTTCAGTACTGAAAGAATCAACAGGCATGGAGCCAGTGGGTCAAGCTGCTTCTCTGTATGTTTGAAGTCCCTGCTGCTCTGTTTGTAAGTGTCAGAGGAAATAAAAGAGACAGTGCCTGTGGGAGGATGTGTGTGTGCACAGTGAGCTGCCTCCAAGGCCTATGGAATTCACCTGGGCTGCAGGCAGATGGGAAATATCTGAGCAAGCATTCCTAAAGAAAGAGCGTGCGAGTCGGCCTCCATGAGTAGGCTGTGTCTATTGATATATGAGATGTGATCAAAATGTACAGAAATGTATAGTTTAAAAGAAATGTATTATAGGAAAAGACACACTGCCATGAATCCCCTCTGAAATACTCTCCCTTGTTTCAAACACACTGATCCCATCATTCTTACCACTTTCTGAAGCAGTTCTGGAAATCCCCTTCTGTGAGTGACTTTACTAAGTGTGATCAAAACTATGGTGAGCACTATCCAACAAAAAGGCAGGCTCATGAAAACGTGCTGATGTATTCTCATCTACCTTATTCACTGGCTCTATCGCCATGAAACTTCTCATTCTTCCCAAAGTCAAATGACCGTGAAAGGTAAATATTTTGAATCGATGTAAAATATTGAGACAGCTACAACAGTGCAATTAAAAACACTCAGGAAAGAGGACATGCAGAACTGCTTTAGAAAGTAGCAAAAACCATGGAATAAGTGTGCTCAAAGTGAGAAGGAGTATTTGGTAGGGAATTAATGGCATTTTTTTTTTTTTACTGTGACAAACATTTAACCACTCATCGTGTTTGTCGATCACACCTTATACATAACTTGTAGAAGTGGTTTTTGACCCTAGGTGAAGACAGTAGATATATCACATGAAGATAGAACCATGTAAAGATTAATGGGACAAGGACGAGATTAACTGTCACTCAAGCATCTTTAAGTAGAATTTTTACTTATCTACAAAGTCAAATATCATGTCCACTGATTACAGTTCACCAGAAACCAAGAGTCCAATAGTTGTAGGATTGAAAGGCTAAAGCTTTGCATCAGCTAATGCGCTTAAATGAGGACACATGTGAGTATCTGCTGCAGTGCAGAATGAAGAATGCCCTGTTATAACAGAAACAATCAGCAGCTTCACACAGCATGCAGCAAATCTGGTGATGCGAAGTAACTCCCTCAAATATTACACACACAATATGGTCTGTCATGTAGATAACTCAGAAGAGAAAGATGATTGTGTGTGAGGGCAAGAATGGAAGGAGGCACTATGGAAAGATGTTGAAATGCCCTGGTCTTTCTTTGGACTAGCCTCGATACTCTTGATCTTAAAGACGGGTCAATATTAAACAGAGTTTCAGGGTTCATGTGGCATTTTTCCATTGGCCCTGTATTTTAGATTGCCCAGATATGCAACCCCTACATATATAGGCTAGATACCCTAGTCTTACTTGACTAAAATTCACATTTTACCAAATAAAGAAACTCTTTATAGAGTCGCTGTGGGGAAAGATTGAAACTTTGGTCCAATTCAATAATCTTCTTGTTGTACTTCTGCAAAATATAACACTTCTCAATAGCAACAGTATCATAAACCTAGGGTAGGCTGTTAAACCTTGGTTCTGAAATGAAAGATACCAAAGTCAAGTACCTTGTACAAACATAATAAGTTAAATATGAAACAAAAGTATAAATCACTCCATTAATACATTATTTTACACAAGATGAGTACTCAATACATGTTCGATGGATAGAGAGATGGTCACATGGATGGACAGACCATGGACCGACAGATAAGTAGAAGTGGGCTGTCTCTGGGCTTCTGTCACAAGCTGGACAAAGAAGGTTTTGCCTTATTCCAGAATCAGTACTTGAGGGCTGGATGGAATTTCACTTGCATAGCAGCCATTGTGACATCTCAGTTCTATGTATCTGAGAAATGATCTGAAATGTAAAGACCTGGAGAGAGACCAGCTACACCACACACACTTGAAATAGGGAAGTCCAAGCTCACATGCAGAGCCTGCAGGGTAATCTCACACCACCTCTATGGTCTTCTCTGAAAGAGCAGATCCAGGGGCATCAATGGGAGTCAGGCTGAGCACCAGCCCTTCACTGGACTGACCATTGCTATAGCACTCAAGCCTGTTGCTTAGGTATTTCCTTTCTGTCTCCACACTCAAGTATACAATGAGTATATGATGCACCTCTTTATGGACAATGTCTCTCTGCATCAGTAATTGGCTCTAATTTGCTCACAAAACTCAGAGAAACATGTTTATTATAAAGGGTCAAGGATAGAAATGACAAGCTGGATGAAGAGGCATAGTGTGCAGGGTCTGGAATGGTCCTGAGTGCAGGGGTTTCCGACCTCATGGAGGAGTCGGGTGCATTTACCACCCAGAAGCTCTCTGAACCCTGTGTTCAGGGACTGTTCAGGAGGGTTTCATCACATAGCCGTGACTGATTATTAACGCATTCTCACCTCCCCACCATGGAGCACCTCACCTCCCCACCATGGTTTTTATCATGCCTTGGTCATTCTGACGCTAACCCCCATCTTGGGGCTGTGCAGAACCTATCAAGGCTCGCCTCAGTAGAACAACTGATCTTCCTAGCTCCCAAGAAATCCGAGGCATTTAGGAGCTCTGTGTCATAAACCAGTCAGAGACCAAATATTAGAACAAAAGGTTGTCGTAGCTCTCCTGTTACTTAGGAAATGGTAAGAGCTTTAGAAGCTGTGTGCCAGAAGACAAGAACCAAGACCAAAAATATTTTTCTTTCTCTCTCTCTCTCTCTCTCTCTCTCTCTCTCCCTCTCTCTTTCTCTCTTTCTCTCTTTCTCTCTGCCTCACTAGAGATTGAATCCAGGGCCTTCACACTGAGCTGTGGCCTAGACTTTTTTTACTTTTTATTTAAAGACAAGATCTCATTAAGTCCCTAAGTTGCCTAGGCTAGGCCTACACTTGCAATTTACCTACCTCAGCCTCCCAAATATGGTAGGATTATAGATCTGTCACACTTATATTTCTTATTATATCACAGTATCATAGAACTCGGATCAAAACCATAGTTAATGAGTCCTCTGTGCCATTATCAAAGACTTATGGTAGTGTTGGCCAACCTGTCATGACAACAAATATCCAAGTATTTTGCTCACTCTAGGCAAAGGAATGCCAAGTTCATACCTCACTATGAACTTTGGATATGAAGTATCCAAACAATATCACATTTGGGCTCAGAATGACTATATAAGCAATTTTTAACACAGGTCCTTTGCACTGAGCTACAAACCCAGACTTTTTTTTATTTCTTTATTTTGAGAAGCCTCTTGCTAAGTCACCAAATCGCCTGGCCTGGACTTGAACTTGTGATCCTCTGCCTCAACCTCTCAGAGGGACAGAAGACATGTGCCATGCCCAACTCAAATAACTATTCTTGCTAGACAATTATAACACTTACATACCTTGCCCTGTGTTAAGCCTTGCTCTGTCTCCAGAGTCATCAGAGATAAATATCGTTTCTATACACTGAGTTTTCAGAAGTCTAGGAGAAAAAAAAATCAAATAAATGATAACTGCTCCAATTTGGTTTAAGATTTACAGTGTATTGTTTTTAAAATAGGCAGATTGAGGGTTTTGATTATCTTCTGGCTTTTTATTATTTTTTTAGTACACTTTTTCTTAAAACTCTTGACTTGTAAGCTTGATCCTTAGATAGCAAAGGACTCACAGTCCTAGACAACCAAAACTACAGCATAAAGATGGAGCTAGCTTATAGCCTTGTAAAGACTCCTGATTCATAATTCAAACCATTTTGCACAGCACAATAAAGTTACCATATTGCAAGAGGAGAGTTCTCCCAAATTGCATTGCTCAGTCCTGAATGGTTTCTTATTTCTCAGAAATATTTGCTAAGCATTCCCATTATTTGCCATGAGAATAGCACCAAAATGCAGACTAATGTCTACCTGAGATATTTAATTTATACTGTTGGCAGCTTCTTTAAAGATGCATATTGCTCCTCTAACACTCGTACAACCTGGTCATAGAAGGATGATATTGATGCCTGGTGATTGTTCACCACAGTAAGAAACCCTTTTACAAATACCTAAGTAAACACTGGAGTGGTAAAATTTTAAAAAGAAAACAACAACCGACAGCACATCTGTCCTGGTGCATCCTGAACTCTCAGTTCAGTATGGGTCCAGTAACCGTGCACCAGATTCTACAGAACAGGTTTGTTTTCACACAATTTGCATTTAGCTCCCATAAAAAGAATTCTATTCACTTTTTAGTTCACACATGCCCTACTTTATATGGGCAAGTTCAACCTTACACTTTTGAGTCACTGCCACATTTCACATCCAGGTTGTCCTCAATCTCCAAACCAGTTAATTCCCCTATAGCAAAGGTTAAATTCAAGGTAATCCCTGGTCATCATTACTATTATTTTTGCCACTGTTTTTAGTATGAGGTATGATAGAAAAATATGATGAATGTTTACACTGAAAATTTTTATCACAGTAAAAACACATTGCCATTAATCCCCCTCAAAATACTCCCCCTCTCTTTGAACATACTTGTCCTATTGTTCTTGCCACTTTCTGAAGCAGTTCTGGAAGTCCTCATTCATAAGTGTCTTTAGTTGTGCTGTGTGGGTGTCTCTGTGCCCTGAATCAATTCAAAATATTTCCCTGTCATTGTCATTTTGACTTTGAGAAAGAGCCAGAAGTCTCACAGTACAGTGCTGGTCTGGTGAATAAGGTGGATGTCGGCACACCATAACGTTTTCACAAGGCTGACTTTCTGCTGAAGAACACTTGGCAGGGGCATTCACTATAATTTTGATCATGCTTCATAAAAGACACTCACAAAGGAAGACTTCCGGAACTGCTTCAGAAAGTGGCAGGAGCAATGAGATGAGTGTGGACAAAGTGAGGGGGAGAATTTTGAGATAGATTAGTGGCAATGTGCCTTTTTCTATAATAAATTTTTAAAAATATATTTGGACCATTTTTCTATATTGGGCTGACTTCATCCAGAGCAAACATCTATAAAGGGTGCTGCTTCCTCCTTGGTCTAAAAGGAGACTGTGATAGACCTAGAGATGATTAAAAGTGCTGGATCTGCCTGTGGGTGATTCAAGTGTTCCCCTGGTGGTCCCAGTCAAAGTGACCTCAGAATTCGCCTTAAAATTAACCGACCTCCCCAGGGCCAGGAGAATGGATGACAGAAACCATGTTAGCTTATCCCGGGACGGAATGTCAAACTCTAAGCTAGGATGGAAGCTAGAGTAATATTCCAGGGAAACCCCCATTTTCCAGTTATCTCCTGGTTCCCTCCTCAAGCACAAAAGCATATCTCTTTTAAGAAAAGGGAAACGATCCAACAGTCAAACAACCTCAAGAGTTTAAGAACAAATTTAAAATAATAACAATAACAGCATCATTCTTTTGGTTAGTTCCAGTCATCTTCTAGACAACATCTAAAGAATTCTAGACAACATCTAAAGAATCCATGTACAAGGATTAGTCCCACCTGTTACAATCAAGATAAGACTAGTTCTTGAACAAGGGTGAACTCCTTCTTCAGATTAAGGAAATTTGTAGTCTTGAAACCATGGGGAAATCCACTTAATACAATTGACCATCTGAGTTTTTTGGATTAAAAACGCTGATGCAAAGCTATAAGCAGCTTGCTTTCAGCAATCAATAAATTTTCCAGCAAAAGGCTGAGTTCCTTTCCTGGGACTCTGTCCAGTAAACCATCACTCTGTGTAGATTTCACCACAGTACCCATCTTAATCACCTCTCTACACAGAACCAGGAGAAAAGGCAAAGATGGGAAACACAGGAGACAGAAAAGAATTCAGCCTCCTGCTGTAATGAATATTCACTGGGGCCTTGTGGAAGACACCGGCTCATGGCCCAGGTACCCAGTTCTCTGCACTTCACAGAGTGCGTTTGATCATCCACACTGCACCCCTCCATGAGCCCATGCCAAGAGTCCACAGCTTTCTCTTCAACTCTGGTTACTGTCAGAAATCTACCAAACAAGCAACCTGTTCAGTGACACATACAGATTTAGTCCCTAGGTTCAAGGAACTAGTAAGGAGACATGAACGTTAAAGACAGGAGGGAAAGAGAAGAAAGGTGGTGGGACACATTCACATAAAATTGCTATCCAAGCTGGGTGTGGTGGCGCATCCTGTAATCCCAGAACTCTGGGAGGCTGAAGCAGAAGGATAGCCAATTTGAGCCCAGTCTGGACAATTTAGTGACTTACACAAGGCCCTCTTTCAAAATAAAAGAGGGGCAGGCGTAGCTCAGTGTGAAGGCCCTAGGTTCCATAACGAGTAGAGTATTGAAAAAGAATTGTTACCCAAGTCACAAACCTCCCCAGCACAGCACTGCTCAGTCTGAGCTTGGAGTAGCCCCCAGAAATCCTTCCAATCAAATTACCAGTCCACTGTGTACTGGTTAACTTAACTGAGTTACCACCAGGTGACTTACATCTGCCAAGTTAAAACCACACCCCTAAAAGCCAATGTATTGCAAAGGAAGCCCTTGAGTTGCAGTTGTTCCAGTTGTAAGCCTTCAGTATCTTCCGCGCAGTGCACCAGGCCCCTCTTCCCTCCCTCGGAAAAGGCTAAGCTCTTCTTTTCTTCCACAACTGTCCTCTCTTCTAAATCAGAGTTCTTCAACTATTAACTTACTATGGTCTCACTTCCCTTGCAAGGAAGCTTTTAAAACTGTTTTTATCCTATTAACCCTCCTTTCCCCCAGGTAATTTAAGTATCACAGATACATAGCACATGAAGTCTTTTATGACTGTAGCCCTTTGGGAAACCTCATCCACTGTCTTATCTAAAATTTTCCTGCTTGCTCCAAACCAACCACTGGGACTGTCTGGTTCGAACACAGTAACAGCACCTTCTGAGGAGGTAGCAGATCTCGGGAGGGTGCAGATGAAGACCAGGAGGTACGCAGGAAGCAGCCAAAATCAGTCCCAACAATCAGAGCATTAACATGTGGATCAGTGCAAGCCAAAAGAACACAAAAAATCTAGACTTTTCACTAGAAATCAATGTTGCCAAGTAATTTGAAAAATTTTGCAAGTACAGAAAACTGTATTTTTCTCCCAGCTTTTCATGTACAATGCCTACTTTAGGGAGTTTTCTAAGGAAGAAACAAAGAGAAGGAATTTGGGGCTATGGTGTACATGGAGGTGAACACCAGAAGGCACCCCATGCTACAGGGCTATGGAGCTTAAGATCCTGCCAAGCAGGATGACCCACACAAGTCTGTCATTCACGAAATGTTACCAGACTTCTGGGGGCAGTTTTGGTGGAATAGGCACCACTTTAATTCATCTTAACAGCCAGTTTTAGAGGTGAACCCCACTCTAACCCATGAACGTAGACTCTCAGTTTGCCACCTAAAACTTTCCTGGATCCTAGTATGAAGCCCTTATTTCCCTGCTCCCAGGGCTCTGCTCCTGCCTACATCTGTGCCAGCTACATGGTGCTTCCCTCCCCCAGGCCTGGAAAGACCTGAATGACTCCACTCCATCCTGTCACTTCTCCTTCTCTGTACACCTGCAGTGGATGTCACACCATGAATTCTTGATTATCCTCTGCCTGCTACTTTCCTGTAATTGTTTCTCATATATCAGTATTGGAGCCCCGCCTCCAATAGACTGTGACCTCCTCAGAGGTTAGAACTCAGAGGTTATATATCTCTTCCTCTTCTCTCCACTCAAAACTGCCAAAACTTACATTAAAGAAATATTTAACAGCCTGACTGCAAGGGCCTTACCACTATTCAGTCTTTCCATAATGAAATTCTGATTGATGATGTGAAAATTCTAGAGGCCTTCTTTTAAGAGATGGAGTCTCACTATGTTATCTAGGCTGGCCTTAAATTCCTGGGTTTAAGCTATCCTCTTGCCTCAGTCTCCAGACTGCACCTGGACAGGTCTTCTTTTTAAATGTAAAGATAAAGGTATGAGGCAGGCACGGTGGTACATTGTGGGAAGCTGAGGTAAGAGGATCACAAATTCAAGCTCACCTTGGGCAGCTAATTGATTAATGAGACCCTACCTCAAAATAAAAAAGGGCTGGAAATATAGCTTTAACTTGAAGTCCCTGGGTTCAACACCCAGCAGTACCACAAATACACACACACACACACACACACACACACACACACACGCACACACACAGGTGCAGTGCTGATACTACTGAATCTACTTTCCATAGGCTAAAGGGATCCCTCCTAGTACTGAATCTATATTTGAAGCCCCAGCTCTCCTGTGATAGTAACACTCTTATATAAATGGCCCTTTAAAAAAATCATCACATGGGATGCAAATTTCTATTTTTTTCCTAACAACCGGCATTGTATATAATCCTGAACTGAAAGGGTAACGTAGTTCACCACAGTCCTCAGACAAGAACTGGAATTCACTGAAATTGATGGGCTATTGTGCAGAAAGAGGATGAGAACAACTTTTCACCTAAGTCCGAGGAATGAGGTGAAGAACAATACAGACAGCTCACAGGGAGAGTAGCTGCACTACAGGCAGGGTTGAGCAGCACTTTGAAATCTGCCACTAGCCCCAACCCATGCTGTCTCCAGCTTGGTGCTCGCTTTCATTTATCCAGGGATCAGTAGCCAGGGGGGGAAAAGTTTCATTCTCCAGCTGTTGTGTCATTTCCCTTGATAAGTCCTAAATTGACCACGTTATCCGCCACCAAAGGAGCCTTCCTGTGGTAGGCATTTTTTATTATGTGCCCTTTCAGGGGACAAAGGCGGTCGTGTCAGTAAACTGCTATGGGGAGAAGAGGCAAAGACAATATTATTCTCACGGTTTCCTAAGCATGCTCTTCGGAGGGGCTAATGTGAACATAAGAAATTAAGCAACATTCTCATCTGTTAGCCTGGCTGCGTGGTGATCAGGGGAAGGAGAAACATAAACTACTGTTTTTTTCAAGGGCAATTATAACATGGAAGAGCCCAACTAAGACATTTCCAGTCTGTATGCTTTTGCACACTATTTGAATGTATTTGGGTAGGTCTCCCCTTGCTGGCTGTTATTTGCTAAAAACTAAGAAGGATGCTCTTGCCTTTCAGAAGTGGCAGCAAGAGTGGGATGTGGCCTCATCTGCCACAGAAGCATCTCGAAGGATGATTGTGCAGGTGAAATGCACTGAGACAGGAGCTTGGTGGGAGACAAACAGGAGGTTCTTTGGTGTGGGTTTGCCCACCCTTCTGCTCTTAGTGAGAACCATTTCCTTATGTGCCGTAATAGGCGGAGGGGACTCGGCTGCGTTTTGATGCATTGATCCTGTTTTTGAAAACATCTCCACAGATCCTCAAACTGCAGCGGGTGAGGTGGATGGGGTTAATCTGGAGGAGATCCGAGAATTTGCCAAAGCTTTTAAAATCCGGCGCCTGTCCCTTGGCCTGACCCAGACTCAGGTGGGACAAGCTCTCAGTGCCACAGAGGGCCCCGCATACAGCCAGTCGGCCATCTGCAGGTAACCCGCGCCGCATGCTGTCACCCACCCCTGCCGGCCTGGGCCTCGTTTGCCTGCGCGGCTCAGCTTTTCTTCTTCGGGTGGGCAGAGCTGGAGGGTAGAGCGTGGGAACAAGTTTGGGGTGGGTGTGTGCTGCCATGGGTGATCTGGGTGGGAATGAGGGTGCTCGAGCAGATTGGAGGGGTTCTGGCTCTGTAACTCCTGTCAACTCACCAAGGACTTCCAAGGCGGTGTCACTGGAGCTACACTACCCCGGGCCAGGAGCCTTTCTCCTGGACCACCAAATCTTGTCGGCACCTCTGTGTCCTGAGCACATGTTGTACAGCTGACCATCTCCATATGTGTTAACGTTCCCACTATTTCTAGCCATGGAGATGGCCATCAGGATTTTCCAAGAAAATACGCATTTAGAAAAAAAAAAAAAACCTTGAAGGAATTTTTAAATGTCTTCCCAGAAACGGCTTTCAAAGGGCACGTTAAAGAAAGAAGCAACTGCTTTAAATGGTTCAGAAAAGGGTAATGGGAATCTGGCCTGGGGGCATCCATCCACACCCCACCACCAAATTAAATAAATAAGTGACCAAATCAAGCCTTGGTTGTGTGGCAGTTGATCTGGGTTAAGTCGTCAGAAGCGGACCGCGTGCATGCCTGTGTGTTGCACTGATCCCATGTTTATGCATGAGGTCACAGAGGTAGTTCGGTAAGAGCTTTTTCCTCTTGGGCAATGCCTTGTGAGTCCTCCTCCATCAGGAAAAGCCAAGAAACCAACTCTAAACTCATTTAAGTGGATTTTGTTCTTGGTGATCCATGAAATGCTGTCTTTTTATCTGCTCTTTATACTTTTAATGTATTCCCCAAAGGACGGAAGTGTACTTTTCCTGCAGTTTAAGACTAAGGTTATAAATAACATCGGTATGGGGTAGTAGCTTGCAGCTCACATTTTGCTCAATGATTTTCCATAAAACCCATTGATTGTTGTTAAATACAAAAAGCACCATAGGATCCTCTCACTTCTATGGCCTCCCCTACTGTTTTTTCTTATAAGATACCTCCCTGTAGAAAATAACCTTTATTCAGTCTATACAAGGATACCACTGCTGAGAAATTTGTTTCAAGGCTTGTATATGTTATTCCAAACAACACGGACGGAAGCATCGGCACTAACAAGCCGCATCAATGATATGAATAAGATGCTCCCTGTTGGGAGACATTAATTTTGTTTCATCTTGACAGGCTCGTGATAAAGGCAGGCATAGGAATTTAAGTTGTTGCCAATTTGCTACTGTTGCTAAATTCCTCTTTGGCCTATTTTTAGCCCTAAAATGTGATTTCCTCTTATTGACTGAAGTGCTAGCTAATGTTTTGACTCTTATACCTAGCATTGCTTGGGCAACCCCAATCAAATATGTTGATTTCTAAAGCCTTCCCCCAGAGGGGAGCTTAAAAACGCAACAGAAAGCAGACAGCTTGGGAATTTTTTTGTATCATACCACAGGTCAGATGTTCGCACTTCATAACCTTTCTCCAGCTTCCAGTGTTTCAAGGAGGTCATTTTAGGAGCCACAAACAAAAATAAATGACATAGGTAACTAACTAAAAGTCTAGGAAGAGATCAAGTTGGATCTCCCTTGCCGCGCACTCAGAGGGTGGGAAGGGTGTACATCAGAACACATGCGTTTGGTCATCATTTCTCCGAGATTAGTTGCAGGGACTCCTAGGTGCTAGCTTTAGTCTCTTTTTATCAGAACCAGAGAAATAAAAGGTACTACCAATACATTGGACATCCCTACCACAAGCTCTGCCCCTTTGTGCCATGGCTTGTGCCATGGAGAGGCTGTTGTGATAATATTGTGACAAAATGTAGCATGTGGCTAATGGTCACAACCACAGAGAGATTTAGTGCAGCTTGCTATTAAATAATTTGTTCACTTGTACTGAAAGCAAATATACTTCTTCTTTCCCTTGACCAGTACTGGAAGCTGGGTTTATTCAGAAATAAAAAAAGGAACCTCCTCGAGCTCTACCCTAGAAGGAAATACCATGGTAATCACATTAAGATTTGATACTATTTGTGCTAGTTACCACAACATAAGAGGTCTAAAATACACTGCAAAAAATGAGATTGTAGTGCCTAAAAAGAGCATATCCTTTACTGTCCTTTTGCAAAAATCTTCACAAAACATATTGTAACTAATGCAGTTACATTATAAGAACGATTATAATAAGATGCATTCTGCAGCCAGGTAGTCCTTCCCCACTTGCATGGGGCACTTTAAAGGAGAGAAGAGAATTCTGTGTATCCAAACCTGTCAATACGGGAAGGTTATGGATTTGGATTTAGAGTAAGCACACAAATGAATAAAAGAAACTGGTGCTTTTTTTTGTATTTCATTGAGAGTATGAATTTTGTAGCGGAATAACCTCTTAAAGCACTATATATAATTTGTCCAGAGTGTTTCATATTTTTTAGTCAATGTAGCAAAGGATTGCTGATGACAATTGATATATAGAAGACCTCATTTACAGAAAATGGTATCATTCAAGTACAGTTTGCAGATCTCGCACATTAGACACAGCTTGATGTCCTGGTAGAGAAGCAAACCATTCGGCTGGATGGCGACTGGGAGCATAGGGCAGCCTTCTCCCCTAGGGCTGGGTGTTCCATAGTAATTACCATGTGCCCAGCTGTTTAAGCCACAACAGCAAAGCAGCAACTGGGCTGTGTTTTACCTGGAAAGAGAGCATGTTATTAATGTACATATGGTGAAAATTGTTACCAGAGAGAGAGAGAGAGACAGAGAGAGACAGAGAGAAGTTAAAATGAGACACAAAAGAGAGATAAGCAGGAACTTTTCACAGTCATCATAAGTGACTGTAATAACTGTAAGACTTTCATAACTAAGACGATGGGGAGGAAGTTAAGGAAGAGCTATGTAAAATACAATCATGTATTGTTCTGGAAGTCGATTCCTAGGGTTGTTTGGTTGGTTTGGGTTGGGTTTCTTTGGCAATACTGGAGACTGAATTCAAGACCTTGCCACTGAGCTACATCCCCAGTCCTTTCTTATTGTTTGTATTTTTTTATGTCTTATTAAGTTGCCCGGGCTGGGCTCCCACTTGCGACCCTCCTGCCTCAGTTTCCCAGAGTGCTGGGATGACAGGTGCGCACCACCACACCCAGCTATTAGGATTAATTTTTGACTCACGGATTCTGAGGACTGGGGAACCAGAGCTGGTGCACTTGAAACAAAGAAGTAGACCTGAGATTTTCGAGGGAAAAGAGCTGCTAGTTGTCTGTGTCCCCATCGTGACAGTGTGTGTGTCCTCTGTCTCACCTCTCCTTGCCCCCCGCCCGGTCTGTGTGTGTCCCTATGTGCTTTGCATGAGCCAGCATGGCGCACGCGGGGAGGGTGGGCACTGGCTTGGGCTGGGCTGGCTCCATGCAGCTGGCTGCTCCTGTGGAGTGACTTCGCCCTGCCAGGCAGTCTAGGAGGCAGGCAGGCAGGAGGCCCACCCTGGCAGAGGACCCAGTGTAAGACTGTTCTTTCTCAATTCTCCCCCCAGACACACCATCCTGAGAAGCCACTTTTTCCTACCACAGGAAGCCCAAGAGAACACTATAGCTAGCAGTCTCACAGCCAAACTGAACCCTGGCCTTTTGTATCCTGCCAGGTTTGAAAAGCTGGACATCACCCCTAAAAGTGCCCAGAAGATCAAGCCGGTGCTTGAGCGGTGGATGGCTGAGGCTGAGGCCCGCCATCGAGCCGGGATGCAGAACCTCACCGAGTTTATTGGGAGTGAACCGTCCAAAAAGCGCAAGCGGCGCACCTCCTTCACACCCCAGGCCCTTGAGATCCTCAATGCCCACTTTGAGAAGAACACACACCCCTCTGGGCAGGAAATGACCGAAATTGCTGAGAAGCTGAACTATGACCGGGAAGTAGTTAGAGTTTGGTTCTGCAATAAGAGGCAAGCCCTGAAGAATACAATCAAACGCTTAAAACAGCACGAGCCAGCCACCGCAGTCCCGCTAGAGCCCTTAACAGACTCTCTGGAAGAAAACTCCTAAAGAGAGGCCCATGCATATCAGAAGTGAAATCCACAGAAACGAAATTCCACCCTCGGGGACTCCGCCCAAACAGAAAGAAAGAAAAAGGAAAGAAAATTAAATTTAAAAACACCCCCAGTGATCATCACCCTTGTATGTAAAAGACTAAGCAAAACACCAAATGGACAGAACGGTTTCTACATGTCCGTTGGTTTTCCAACAAGAAAAAAAAAAAATACAAGAAATTTTTTGGGAAATTTTTAAACAAGGAATACACCCCGCAGAAGGTGCGCGTGGTAGGATAGTTCCCTCCCCACACCTGTCTCCCCAAAGCCAGTTTTTTTAAAAGAAAACCAAATAACCACATACTTTTTTCTGTATATTATGAAAATGTGAACACATTTTAAGGAAAAAGAAAAAAAAAAAAAACTAAACTAAACCAAAAACAAAAAACAAAGAAACAAACAAAAAAACCAACAACAAAAACTTGTATCTGTTCAAAGCGAATACAAGCCTGCCACCTGCAGGAGGGACCGTGTATCCTGCCGGGTTCTAAGTGCTGATTCACTATGAAAAACCTATTAACCAAAGTCAGAAATATGGCATTGCAAACGCAATCGTTCGTCTACTCTTTCTTCTCTGCGTGTAAAGTTGTGTTACGAGTTTTTACATTTGTACTAATGGAAAACTAGAAATCCTGGTTTCTGCCGTCTTTCCCATCTACTGTCTCCGCCAACCGGGTGGGTGCCGTTGGAGCCATTCTGTGAGGCTCACTCTCGGTTCTGTTTCTTTTTCAGTTCATGTTTCTGTTTGTTTAAAGGTGTGTGTTGCGGGGGGCATCCTGGATCCTGTGCCAAAACACTGGTTGCTGTCTTCTCACTAAGACTTGAGGGTTTGGGAAAAGAAAACGGAGCTCGCCTTTCCCGTTCCTCCCCTATTTCTCCCCGGCACATGGGGTCGCCGGAAGGCAGTGGCTTTTCCACTACTGAAATGCAGGAGAGACTCCACAGCGACGAGGGCTTTGCTAAGTGAACTGTCAACACCGCCTTAAGCTCTAATCGTGCTCACTGTCCACACCAGAGCTTGGGATTTTGCTCAGTCTGCTGGCCACGTACATGAAGAGCTGACCAAAACGAATTTTGTAATATAAACATAAGCTGCACATTTGGTTCAGTACTTACATCTTTGTTATGCTTCTGTGCAAAGCAATTTCTCTCAAAAGTCTGATAGCCAAAGAAATATCTCCAGGTTTCAGTCAAAATACACACAGGCATGCACACACCCATATCCACCAGCACAAAGAAACAGGCCACAAAGAAATTAGTAGCGACCAGATCCTTAAGGCCCATCGAGTGCCCTGTAAATCTCATCTTTTCTGCTACTTCTTTCATCTTATAGCAATGGCAGGCTTTTAGGGGAGGAAACAACTGTCCTTGGGATATACACAGGAATCAGAATAATGACAGGCAAACTTAAGCAGTTGCAATTGCGGCCTGGAATTGGGTTCTTGAGGACAAAGAAGTTTTAACGGTGAGGGGTCTCCACTAAAAGAAAAATATATAGAAGTAGCTCGTGTACCACATCAGAATAGCCTTCACTAAAGAACTAGGGGATTTGTTCATTTTAAAAATAACTTCCTCAGAAGATCTGTGGGCTACAGTAGCCTAAGAATCCATAGATTGTGCGGGGATGTAAAGACAGCTATTCAGGGCAACAGCTGGAATCTGCACCTGGTGTTTTCACCCAGGTGGGACACTAGGTGTTCTATCAAAGAAGCAGGCAAAAAAGAACTGTCGATTTGCTTGCTGTTGAACTGTAAATATTTATGAGTAATTAATGAATAATCATGCTCATGTACTATCTAGAGATAAATTGTGAAAAGGAAAAAGAAAGCCCACCTCAAGTTGCCCAATTCATTAGAAATTCCATCTCCTTCCCCCAACTCACTCCCTCTCCTCAAGGCTTCTAGTTTCTTCCAGTGGCCCCTTTATAGGTTGCATACTTGGGACAGTATAACTGTCCCTGAGATGATCCATGCATCCGTCAGGAGACTACCACCGAGGAAATTCTTCTAAAACTTGTGGAAGCAGTTGCTTGTAAAACTCTTTGCATTTCACCAGTCTGATGCTAACTGGACCACACCATCCTGATCCGCGCCAACTAAATCATGGCACCCATTTCTCACCACCTGAAAAGCTGCACAGATACCAACAACCCAGAAACCCACAACTTTATTGATTAAAACCAGATTTGTATTCTCCTAGGACCTGTTCCAAATTCCATCAAGAAAAGCTCCCCAGGAAGAGAAGTTAACAAGATAACATATGAAGGATGCTAAATGTTTAAATATATGCCGGCAGCTGTTACATAAGACCTGCACAGCCCTGAGATCTATAATTGGGAGGGTATAACTAGGACAGTGAAAACAGAAAAGCAATCATCCGGAGCAGAACAAAAAAGAAATATATTCATCTCATAGTCATAAAACCATTCACGTGCAGTGATTTTTTTTTAAAGTTTTATAATTTTGTATTGTTTTTTAAATTATTTATAAAGTGTTGTAATGCTTCTTATATTAATTTTTTACAGATAAATTTTTTGCTACAAGGCATAAAAAGGGTGCCTGAACAGATTCTTAGGAATATAAATTATATTGTGTAATGCATCAGTCTTCGAGACCACACCTATTGCTTAATTTTATTATGACATGTCTTATTTCCACTTGTAAACAACTTCATATGCCAATAACATTTAAGTGTCTTTTATGTTTCCATGAACTGAAGGTTAAGGTTGCCACCACCAAGAACAAAAATGAATAAAAGCCACTTTGGGCATATGTGATTGTACTTCAAGCTTCAGTATTTTTCTCACAAATTTTTAAGTTATTGTCATTTTTGTTTTATTTATTATATGATGGAAAATGTCAGTGGACGCTGTATTCTACACTTGTTTGTGGGACTCTTTTCTCTTTCAACTAAAAGAAATATTTTGAACAGCTGAAACTTCATAAGCATTTTCAGGGTTTGGGTTCTTTCTGTTGTAATCACACGGAGTCACACACAGACACACACAGACACACAACACAACACGAAAGAAAACACAAAGCAAAAGGAGCTAGGAAAAACAGAACAAGTAGAGGCGTGTCAAAGAACTCAAGCTATAACCAAAAAGAAATCATAAATTGCCTTTGTTCATCTTCTCTATGCTGGACCAAAGCTCAGTATTTGTAGGTATATGCACAGTGTATAGATATGGCTAAATGTTGCTGACAATCTCGCAATACTAAACTGTTCCTATTTTAAGAAGAAAAAAAAAAAGGAATACAAACTGTTCATCAGTGTTTTACCTCAACACTCTACTTGTACCCAGTCAATGACCAAGCTTAAACAAAATGGAGGAAAAGGAAACTGATTTTCATTTCCATGTTCAACTGTAAGATCTATTTGGAAAACACTTTGTAATAAGCTTTTTGTCATGTGATTTGCTGTCTTCAATTTGAAATTATGTGAGGCACATTCGTTTTTTTGTTAACGAAGTGAATTTACTTTCTGTTACGTTTTCTTTTTTGTTGTTTGTTTATTTGTTTGGTTTTTGTCCTACGTGCTGTGATCTAGACTGGTCACCAGGGTCACTTAGGAGGCACCGCAAGAGTACTGCTTCTCCATGCCTGGAGCGGGCAGCAGGAGGGAAGGCAGGGAAACAGACTGAGTTGTTCTGGAAAAACCATCGTGATGAGAAGTTGACATGATAGACTTGTGACCAAGAAGCCAAACTGGATATTTCAAAGCTCCTTACTTGCTCTGACATTGAAACCAAAGCTGATTTATCTGCACAGGTTGCTTAATGTTTAAAAAAATTAACTGTACTTAATCTAGAGCAATATCTGTATGGTTGGTAAAGCTGCACTTTGTGTATTTCTTAACAGCTTCAGATATGTCACTTTTAATTTGTATCATATAAAATAAAGAATTGTTTGACATGAGTGTCTAGGTTCAGTGTGTCTTACACTCAGAAACGTCGCTTAAATTATAAGCATTTGCATAAGCATATGTTACAGCCCCAAATTTTAAGAAAAGGAAATGGTTTGAGACAGACTGGTTAATACCATGATTATTTTAATTCTTCAAATGAAATACATACCAGATGAGATCTAAATATACAGTGAATATTTAAATTTTAAAACGTGTTACAGTGAAAGACACTTTGCCATTAGTGCCTCTCAAAAGACCCCCCCTTTGCTTCAAATGCACTTATCCCATCATTCCTGCCATCTTCTGAAGCAGTTCTGGAAGTCTTCTTTCCTGAGGGTCTTTATAAGGTATGATCAACACTATGGTTAATGCTGCTGCCAAGTGTCCTTCAGTGCAAAGGCAGGACAGTAAAATCATTACAGTATGTCTTCACCCACTTTATTCAGCACATCTGGTGCCATGTGACTTCTGACTCTTCCCCAAAGTCAAAACTACCATAAAAAGCAAAGGTTTTACATTGATTCCGGACATCAAAGCAGCCACAAAAGCACAAGTACAGACACTCTTGATAGAGAACTTCCAGAAGACCTTCAGAGAATGGCAAGTATAATGGGATAAGAGTGTTCAAAGTGAAGGACAGTATTTTATAGAGAGATTAATAACAAGATGCCTTTCACTGTAATATATTTTTGTAAATGTAAATATTCACTGTATTTTTCAAGCATGCATGTATTCATTGGTACTTCTTTGTTTGAAAGCTACAAAAAGTCAACTCCAACTTGACTAAACAACAAGACAGTCTGCCGTTTCCCTTACTGGGACGTCTTCTTGTGGCTGTATACACAGCTGGATGCAAAGATTTCAAGGATGTCATCCTGTGGGTGTTCCATGTGGCTTCCTTCTGAGATGCGTTATCTAACCATCAAGCCCAGGGCCTTGAGTGAGTCATATGCCTGCCTCTACATTAAACTTATCTCAGCCACTCTGGGTCACTGACACCTCCTGTGTGCAATAGGGTATGGGGGTCTCATGATGACTAAACCACAAGAAATGAAAGAAAGACCAGAAGGCAGACCACGAGCCATGACAGTGGCAGATAAAGCCCAGAGCCACCACCGGCAGCTGCTCATAACCAGCTGGGTGCAAGATGTTGTGCAGGGCTTTGCTGAGGGCCACTGTTCTTTGGCTCTTCAGCAATGTCTATAATCTCAAAGTCCGGAAAATCGAGGCATTTCAAATAGGCTCTTACTTGAAGTTTAATGCAGGTGTGAGGAGTAAATTAATGTTGTCATGTAATTTACTAACTCAAAGGGAAGGTAGGAGCATCTTATTAACACTACCAGTGAAGACATAGTAATATTCATAACCATAACATCTGTTCTTTTAGTGACCTTTGGTAAACATTTTCTTATACTACATGGAGAGCCA